AAGGATGGTTACAAAAAAATCACAGTTGTACATATTTGAGACAATGGTCGAGATTCATTTCACGGCTAGGTGCACTTCATTGGCTGGGTGCTAGCTTGTGATCTGACTGCAAAAGTGGGAAAGTATTCTATAATTTCTTCAGTCCCAACATTTCTCATCTAAGAGTACGCTCTTCAAGTCACACTTTAATGAAGGTTCCAAATGTGGGCACTGAGTCACAAGGCAACCATTCAAGTCCTGGAGGCTATGTATGAGTATCTCAGGAGTCAGATCATACTATTGAAGAAAAACAGTCTTAAAAGGTGGAATAAAAAAAGGAACCTGTATTAATAAAGTACTTCAATGTATCACTTAGAAAGGTTCTAAGCACTTTAATACAATTAGAAACTTAATTGAATAACTTGTATTTATATAGTTCTAATGACACTGTAAAATATCCCAAGGTGGTTTCCAGAAATGTTATCAGAAAAAAGAAAATTGACATCAAGCCACATACGGAGGTATTAGGTCAACTGACTGAAAGTTGGGAAAAGCAGATCACTGTTAAAGGAGGTTTAAAGAGGAAAAAAAAGTAGAGACATTTCATGAGGAAATTCAGGACCCAAGGGCCCTTTAGACCACAGTTGCCAATGGTGGGTGATTTAAATCAAGTGTAGGAGGCCAGCGTTGCAGGAGGGCAGAGATCCTGGGATGGGGGTGTGGCCACTGAAGGATCTGAAAGCAAGAAGAATTTTAAAATCAAGGTGCAGTGTAACTAGGAGCCTATGCAATATTGAGCACATGGACAACGGGTGAACAGGCCTCAGTGTGAGACAGTACATGGAGTCTAGGGGATTACGAATTTACAGAGGGCAAAAAACTGGATTGCAGACAGCAGTGTTGGAATAGAGATAACAAAGTCACTGATGAGGATTTCAGCAACATTTGAGGTGAGGCAGAGCTGGATGTTGTTAACAGAGATAGAAATGAGCAGTTTTAGTTAGGATGCAAATGTGGTAGAAAGCTCATTTAACATGACCAGCCTCAGGTAGTTGTGATAAAAGAGAATAAGTCAATGGCTGTGGAATGGAGTTTGTGGTGGAGAATGCAGACAATAGCTTTGGTTTTCCCAATAATGAGATGGATGGTATGTTTATTCACACAATATTAGATCATGAACACAGATTTAGAATATGAAGACAGAAGTTTAATTAAAGAGCATATGGTGGTAAGATGAGATTGGGTGCAAAGATTGCACATGTGGCAACCAACACTGTTTTTGTTATGTGGACAAATGTGACAGTGACTTTGTACACAAAGTCCTGCAAACAAATAAGTTAATCAGCGTTACTGGTGCCTGCTCTGGGAGGAATTGTGGTCATTATGATAAAAAAAAAGGGAAACCTAAGCCTTTTCAACTTTGAAAGGAGGCAACAGATGGACGAACATTAAATGGTTAAAGGTAAACCAATACTACTTCAAAATCAAACAATAAAGTCACCAAAATCCATGGAGTACCATGGAGTTGCCCTCCCATTAGGGAGACTGGACTGGTGGTGACTTTAATCTGAGGGTCACTATGCATCAGGCAAGGGGCATGGTGGAGAAGGCAAGACTTTCGTAGTCACCTCAGCCAGTGTGGGAATGGAACCCATTGTTGGCATCGTAAACCAGTTGCCCAGCCAAATGAACTGACTGACCTCCCAATAATGGATCAAATGAATAGTAGCAAAAGCAGAGGTCCCAACTACTGAACAGCAAATATCAAAATTTCTTCACATAGTGAATGGACTTCTAGGTAAAAGAAGAAATCTCCCTGGAATTATCTGAAACACCTTTGGTTGCTTTGATGATGATGATGAGAGGGAGTAGGTTCTTTCTGAATGGACAAGTTGTCCAAATGGTGATTTTCTAATCTTGCAATTAGCATTTTAAAAAAGGGTCAAGGTTTCTAAATACGCTGCCCTCTCTCTTTCAACATAAATGGCCAATGAACTGACTTCTAATTACTTCAGCAAACAAATTACCAAAAATATGCCAATTTGTGGAAGATCTTTTAGATGGAAAGCCAATTCCCCATTGGGGGAAGAACCAAGCTCTTATTTTTAAAAACCTAATCACCCAATTAATCAACTAAACAAATAAATTATAACCAGGGACAGTACAACACCACTATAAATTAAGGCAGGCTAGGAAAAGTCAGAAGGGTTATAACAAAATGGAGCTGGAGGTAGAAATAATGCACTCCAGATCCTGCAGCCCCCAACTGCCTTTGAAGGTGCTATAAATATGTGAAGAGCCCAGATTTATTTTTATATTTTTTAAGTCAACCTTTTCAGAGATGTTATTATACATGTCTGGGGCAGCTGGAATCTAAACACAGGTTTTCTGGCTTAAAGGAAGGAATATTACCACTGTGTTACAAGAGCTCTACTCGTCAATGATCATTGTGCAGTATTGGTTACACAACTACATTTTGGATAAATTGGGAGTTTATGGAGTGCAATTAAAGAAAAGCCTGCAGGGAAAAACTTCAGAACAAACCAAGTTCATAATTGCCAAAGCCATTGACAGGAAGTTTGGCACTGCAAGAGATAAAGTAGGGAAAGAGAGACAAACAAAGCTGCTCAGGTATAAATAAATAGTTTCAGTGACAGTGACAGAGATAATGCAGAATTCCAAGCTGAGTTCATGATCAAGCAGAATGATTTGTTAAATCAAAAGGTAGAGGTCAAAGGATAAGATAAAGTAAGCATTAAAGACTGAGTTTGTGGTGAGCATCAAATGATTGGGTTTGGTTTTCCTGTCTTCAAAAAAAAGTAAGGTTTTCATATTTGATATCAGATAGGCAGTTTGACAGCACAGAAGTGATGACAGGATCAAGGGAACTGGTATAAAGATGCAACGTGATATCATTAGCATGTATGTGGAAGCTGACTTCATGTGAACAGGTGTCACCATCAAGGGTCAGCATAAAATTCTGGAAAAGGAAAAGGAAGACAAGGGTAAGGATCAGATTTTAAGAATCCAGAAGATAATACAGTGAAGAAAAGAGAAACTATTGCTGAAGATGTGCTAATTTTATCCAGAAATGCAGAACTAGAACAACATAAGGGAGGAATTTGTGACAGGAAAATGTGCTATCATAAGTAACTGGTGTTGATTACTGCAAAAGATATTAAGACAGAAGAGAAGGAACAGGGCACACCATGATCAAAATACTAAGGCTGTTAGGGAATCATGAAATGACAATAAATCTAGTGTTTTTTTCCATAGAATTATGAGCAATGGATGTGTCAAAGGCAAGATATTTTAGCAAAATGGGTTTAATGGCAGCAATACTGAAGGGAAAAGATGGTGCTTAAAAGCAAGGGAGCCAAGAGCAGTATTAGCTAGTACAGGGCCAGGAGTGGCAGCAAATTGAAGGAGGAACTTGGGAGCAGGAGATGGATTCTATAGAAGAATTAGTTTGAAAAAACAATAGTGGTGATGGGAGGAAAAAAAAATTGCAATAAGGGGTTGGAAAAACAGGAGACTTGGATGGAGTAGGAGAGGGAAGCTGATTGGACAGTTTTAATCTTGGGCATTGGAAATAAAGCTGCAGACATAGGAAGAGGTTTGATGAAGTAATTAGCTATGTAGAAAAGTAAAGTATCCTTCCATCTATGAGAGCTTTGAGTAGTGACTTAGGCAGCAGGGAGGCTGTTGTGTTGTTCAGCAGATCTTTAGATTGATGACATTTAGTTATTTGTCATTAGAAACAAAAATGTGTGCTGTCCTATTTTGAATAGTGAAGAGGGCATATATTTGCATGTGCACATGCTCACATAATATGAATAAAAGAATTGTTGTTTTGATGGAAAAAGATGATTTCAAAGTTACATGACCAGTTTAATAAGCCTACAACAACTGAAAGATCATGGTGGGAAAAAAAAAAAGTTGGTAAGGAAAATCATGAAGGAACCAGGCGAGGAAGTTTTCCCAAACAAAACATAGGATCACTGAATCATCATAGAATCCCTACAGTGTAGAAACAGGCCATTTAGCCTAACAAGTCCACACCAACCCTCTGAAGAGCATCCCACCCAGATCCATCCCCTTACCCTTTCCCTGTAACCCTGCATTTCCCATGGCTAATCCACCTCACTTACACACTGGAGGAACCAGATCATCTGGCAGAAACCCACGTAGACAGGGAAAATATGCAAACTCCACACAGACAGTTGCCCGAGGGTGGAATTGAACCCAGGGCCCTGGTGCTCCGAGGCAGCGGTGCTAACCACTGAGCCACCATGCTGCCCATGAGGAAGACAATGGGATTGAGAATGTTAAAACCTAGCTGTAAGACCAACCAAGTAGTGGTCAGAGTTAGTCTTACATTTGACTGGAGATCGAGTGCAGAGGGGCTGTGAGCAATAACAAAGCTGAGGGACTCAGTCAATTTTATGAGAAGACCAAGACTGAGCAAGGATAAGAGAGTAGAGAAATCAGGCGTGGGGTGGGGGGTCAGAGAGATTTTGGTGTAGGTGGACAGTAAAATGCATAGACTGGAATGAAGGTAGGAAGCAGTTCATGCAGCTGAACAAGATAGAATGGGACTTTGAAGGGCAGAAATTTCATTGCTTTCAAAACATATTTTCACACAGGGAAATGAAAGGTGCCTAAACTCAAGAAGATATAACTAATTATATTAATAGAGGAAGATTTTTAAATCACAGTAGTACAAGTGATAGGTGATCATGATAATCTTAATTTTTAAAAAGGCAAGTAATAATGTAAATGCCACCTAAAAACATTTACATGGCCACCTAAAGATACCATGAAAATATTCCTACTAGCAGGCGCTTATTTTAAACACAGAATCTGTCAATATACACAGTTAAAAATGGTCAATTTCTTATGTGAATGCATAATTCTAAGAAGCAGTTACAATCACCAAAGTTTTTGGAACAGATCAATGAATTCTGTGTCACAAAATTAGAAACTGCATGATTGAAAAGCTTGATGTTAAAATTCCTTACCTTAAGGGAATCAAAGCATGCAATAACTCGCCCATTTTCAACCTGACAGCTTTTTGGTGGGTGTGCAAACTTGCATTCCTGGTCTGAGCGTGAACATGTCCCTCTCTGAAACTGTCTGCACACTTCTAACGTCAGCCATTTTGTATCACGTACTGGAGTAACATTTACAGCCATAATAAATCGTTGAAGTGAAACGTGGTTCAGAACAGCTCAATATCAGGATTCTTGGGTAAAGAAGGCAGCAGTTATTAGAAATAAAATTAAAAATATAGCTCTCTTTCCTTAAAATATACGAATGATTTTTAATGATCATAAAAGCAGAAGATTACTTCATAAAATGCTGCTGGAGAGTTGCTTTTCTGGCTGCTAGTCAACATTAAAACAGACAATTAGTCAGCAAATGATCAGTCACCGACTGGGACTTGCGGCCTTCCGACACAGGATTTTCACCTCTTCTTGTTGGTGGCACGTCTGGCTGTTTTATATTTTACGTTTGCAAATGCAGCACTTTGTTGCTTTTATTAAAAAGTTATTTTGATGCAATATGATTAATACTAATCAATCATTCTCAAGTCTCTACCAGCTAGTGATTTTACTGTCGTCAGTGCACTCCGCTCTTTGTACGTTGATTTAGTTCCTCGTGTATCAGTTCGCTCCAGTTTTGATGTTACGGACAGTTGAAAAGGAGACAAGCAGCTGAAGATGCGGCAGAGGCGTTTTCCGTTTTCAGTTGCACGGTAGGCCAGACATTTGTTTAATTGGCAGCAAACAAATCTCAGAAGAGCAGACAGACCTAAAAGCAGATCCAAGTAACACAGACTCCAGAAAAGGCACTTTTTATCAAGGACCTGTTGATAAAATTAAAAAAAAAGCAAACATTATGTTTTAGTACAATAACTTTTACTCCACTTGAACCAGCACTACTTTATTGCATGAAGCGGTTGAACACTTTCAATGTACTCAAGATGAGAACGGAAGCAGAATTAACAAGGCAGCATACTGCAGTCAGCCATGCTATTGCAGATTAAAAAAAAGAGGAGTTGGCCTTCCTCGTGAAACTATGCTTGATGGAGGGAACAGCCAATCGCAACAAGTATTGCGGCAATATTCTGGGCAATAGTCCAATAGTCTGATGTATCTCATAAATGGCTGAGTGTGCCAGATGACACTATGCTCTCTATATTGAAAATGCCTCAACCCAATGCGACCAGCCCTAACTGCTATATAGAGGTACTGTACTCCTGGCTTCAAACTGATTGGAAACTCCTCTCTACAGACTGCGTTTCTATTAACTCGATGTGTACTTCTATTAACTCTACTGCACCTATTCATTCAGGACTAACATTATTTCCCTCTAAAATAAATAAGAGGCAGTCACAACCTTCAGTTTCCTTATCTGCAAGAAAATGGACATACAGTAATTCAGTGAATGTTTCACTAACATCTGTGAACACTTACATCTACAGACGCCGAGCAGTGAAAGGGAACCACAGAAGGTAATGACGGAATGGGGGTGGGGAAAGTAAACAGCGCAGATTCTGTCAAACAGGCAGCAGCTATATTCTACTTCCTTTATAATTTAACCCTGTGAATGCTAACTAATAATGAGCATGCCTAAATGTTAGTTTTTGAGCAACACAGGGCAACTGCAGAATGATGAATTACTCCTAACATACAAACTCCAGAAGGTAAAGTCACAAAGAACCATAGGCATCCCTTACCATTAAAGAGCAACAATTTGTTATAAATAGCATGAGGGATATCACTCATCAAGTCTGGGACAAGGCAAAAAGGCATGCCTTCCTGAATCAAGGCCAAGGAGAAGAATCACAGCTCTGCTATTTCTAGCTCCAGGGTCCTTTAACCCTCCCCTTCAATTGTTACAGTGCTGGAGGCTTTTTGGTCCATCATGTCTGCACTGACTCTCTTATCGAGCATCTGACCAAGCACTGTTCTTTCATCTTCCCCCTATTAACCCTGTGCATCGTTCCTTTTCAAGCCACCACTTAACTTCCTTTTCAATACTTTGATTATACCCAACCACGGATCACACTATAGAATTCCTCAGCAGCCAACTGCAGGAGAGATCCATCCTGCTATTCGAACAGCACCCCTTCAAAGATTTCATCTATTTAACTGGTGGCATTCCCATGATTTGAGTTTTCTCAGACATTCTGAGGATGCATTTTCCCTCTGTTCCCATGCATTTTGAGTACTGATAGGTGGCCAAAGTGCCGTGGCTCCTCCTTAAGCATGCGCCCCAGTGATTAGCACCATTTGTAGCACTCTATCATACGCCATGTCACAAACAATTTCAACAGGTAGATGGATCAAACCGGCTTCAGGGTCAGTCTTGCCAACCAAGCAAACCAGTGTCCCCCTATAAACAGATGATAGCTATACAACTGTTGTGATAGTAATAAGACATACTTCTGTATGACAACAATGAAGCCCAACAGAAATAACCTACGATTTCTAGACTATATACCAAAATATTACACAATAAGATTTTGAAAGTACATAGTACAAATCAATAATCCAATTTCTTGGCAGGACATTGTATTATTTGCTTAATTATAACAGAATCAGTAACATATTTCACAGGCATGTGCTCCAGTAATGTCCATCCATTATTGTGTGGCTTGCTTAAACTATCCATTTGTCAGTCTTAAGTACCACCAGGTTAAATAATCAAAATCTGAACAAGAAATGCAGGCGGAGGAAATGTGTTCCACTCAACAGCTTTGGACAAAAAGACTTTTACAGTCAGTGTATTTTTAGTATCAAACTATTAAGTTGAGTACTTTTGCCTCACAGCTGATCTCTGAATCAGTTGCTACATGGAGTGGGTGCTGATGGGTGCACACCACCCATATTCATTAGCAGGGAGGACCACTGTTCCAGGTTTGCGTGTGCGTGAATCCCGAGTACTCTTGTGATTTCAAGGGTTGCACTTCCCAAACTCTTTGCTTGGGACTAGTGGAAGGTGTTTTAAAAGCTCATTTTGAGTTTAGCCTTGGTCAATGAGGCTGTGCAACACCACAGGCATCAAATCAAGGGTGGCAACCTGATTCATCACAAACTGAATACTGAAGACAAAAGTGAAAGAATTACTGGATTTAAATTAAACATTAAATACTATTCTGATCAAAGTGAACATATTAGCTCATGTCTTAAAATACCACAGGGAAAATAAATCAAGCACAGGCAATAAATAATACTATAGGTCTTAGAAACCAAAAGTGAAACTGCATCAGTCTGAATGAAAAGGAAATACTATTTACAACTGAATGCAAATAAGCTGAAGCGACAGTCCAATTGATGAAATATAATATTAAAACATATTCAGCAAGTAATTGCTTGAATGTGATGGTTAAATATTCATAACTGCATTAAATGCAAGAATTTCACAAAAAAACTAAGTGACAGACATCAGTTGTACATACATTTTATATCAAAATGCAAATAATCAGATAATTGCAATTACTAAGCAGAGACGCATTCTTAGGGTAAAACATGTAAACAAGTGTAACATGTGAAACAAAGTACATGCTGGAGAAACTCAAGAGGACTGGCAACAACCGCTGGGAGAGAAACAGAGTTAACATTTCAAATCCTGTATGACTCTTCCTTAGATAATTCTAAAGTTGACCCATGCCAGCCTCAAAATGTTAACTCTGTCACTTTCTCTACAGATGCTGCCAGATCTGCTGAGTTTCTCCAGCACGTTGCGTTTGTTTCAGATTTCCAGCATCCGCTGTATTTTGCTTTGATTCGAGTATAAATGTATCTGAAAACAGAAGTGTGGGTTATGGAGAAAAGTGAAGGAGAATGCAAAAAAAGGTGAAAATGTTCTTATGCTATGCTGAACTGAGGCCATTCATTCAGGTGACGTAGGCATCGCTGGATAGGTCAGCATTTATTGTTCATTCCCTTATGCCCTGGAGACAGTGATGATGAACTCCCTTCTGGAACCAAAGCGAATCCTTGGGATGTAGGTACAGTTGGTGCTGTTGGGAAGGAAGTTCCAGGGTTTTGACTCAGTAACAATAGAGGAACAATGACATAGATTCAAGTCAGGCTGGTTGTGGTTTGAAAGAGAACTTGCAAGTGGTGGTGTTCCCACATATCTGTTGCCCTTGTCCTTCGATGTGGTTGAGGTCAGAGGTTTGGAAGTGCTGTCAAAGGACCACAGTGAGGTCCTGCATTGCATCTTGTGGATGGTACACACTGCTGCTACTGCATTGGTGGTAAAGGGAATGAATGCTGAAGGCGGTAGATGGGGTGTCATTCAAGGAATTGCTTTGTCTTGGATGGTGTCAAGCTTTCAGTACCTTTGGAGCTGCAGTCATGTAGGCACGTGGCTGGTATACCATGGACAGATGTTGGGGACTCGGAGCTATTAATGAAGATATTAATTGTCTGGAGCATATTTTGCACACATTACTTGCCATTTACTAGCCCAAGCCTAAATGCTGTTCAGGTCATGCTACATAGTGACACGGACTGCTTCAATATCTGAAGAGTGGTAAATAGAGTAATATAGCATAGAAGTAGGCCCTTCGGTCCACCACGTCTAAGCCGACGAACAAACATCAAACTATAGTAGCACCATTTATCTGGTCTTGGGCCATAGCCAACTATGCCTTGGCATTTTAAGTGCTCATCCAGATGCTTCTTAAATGTTGCAAGAGCACCTGCCTTCATCACCCTCCATGACAGCACATTCCACAATCATCATCAGCGGGAATCCTCATTTCTGACCTTATGAAGATGATCAATGAGGCAGCTGAAAATGGTTGGGTTGGAATACGATCTTGTGGAACACCTGCAGGGATGCATCCGAGCTATGAGTACTGACCTGCAACAGCCATCTTCCTTTGTTCTAGGGATGATTCCAAGCAACATTGAGCATTCTACCCCCAACTCACATGGACTCCACTGTTGCAAGGGCTCCTTGACATTATCCTCAGGTCAAATGCTGCCTTTATGTCAAGGGCAGTCACTATTTGCCTCATCTCGAGTTCAGCTCTCTTGCTCATATTTGGATCAAGTCTGTAATGAGGTCAGGAACTGAGAGGCCCTGGTAAAGTACGAACTCAGTGTCGTGAGTTAGATAATTTCTTTGCAAGCACTACTTGGTAGCACTATTGATAACTCCCTCTGTCACTGAGGACTGAGAATAGACAGAGAGAGAGTAGTAACTGGCCAAGTTGGATTTATCCAGCTTTTTACGCACAAGACATACCCTGGGCAATCTTCCACATTAGAATTATAGAATCCCTACAATGTGGAAGCAAGCCATTCAGCTCAGTGTATCCACACCGATCCTGCGAAGAGCATCCCACCCAGACCCCACCTGCTCACCCCATCCCTGTAAACCTGCATTTCCCATTGTTAATCCATCTAGCCTGCTTATTGCTAGACACTATGGGCAAGTTAGTATGGCCAATCCACCTAACCTGCACATCTTTAGACTGTGGGCGGAAACCAGAGCACCCAGAAGAAACCCACATAGACACTGAGAATGTGCAAACTCTGCAGACAGTCACCTGAGGCTGGAATCGAACCTGTGAGACAACAGCATTAACGACTGAACCACTGTGCTGCCCAAATTGTCAGGTAGCTGCCAGTGTTCCAGCTGTACTGGACCAGCTTGGCTAGACAGATATCAAGTTCTGAAGCACAAGGTTCAATAGCACAAATACTATTGCTGGAATGTTCTATGGGCCCACAAAAGGTAAAATCACCACAGCCTTACGACACTGTAGGGCTGCTCTCTCATGAGAGAGAAATGACTGGTGACTGTTTAACCTGTGTGTCACCATGCCTCAGGAGAGGGGGGAGTTTGAGAAAGTGTGCCCTTCATAGTAATAGTATCCAGGGCAATTGCAGAATCCAGTGCCTTCAGTCACAAGTAAGGCATGTGCTGTGCAACAATACCAGAGTGAGATGAGATAGAAAAGTACTTGGGGAATTTGAGGCATGGGGGAAAGAGAGGTGCCTTCAATAAGGTTTATTATAACAAGTTAAGGTTGCTGAGTGGGGAGTTCAGTGTATGCGGTGGTGGTGAGGGAGGGAAATAGATGCAGGAGATGTTCCTTTATGAGCAGCTGCTGTTAGTGACTGTCAGAGTCCAGAAATTTTCATAGAATGAAAGAATACCTACACTGTAGAAATAGGGCATTCGGCCCATCGAGTCAACACCGACCCTCTGAAGAGCATCCCAGCCAGATCCAACCTCGACCCTACCCCTGTAACTCTGCATGGGAACATGCTTAATCCACCTAGCCTGCACATCCCTAGACACTATTGGCAATTTAGCATGGCCAATCCAGCTAACCGATGGATTGAAAAACAGATTTTTAAAATACTCTTGCACAAGAAAATAAGCTCATAGCAAACAGTACTAAAGGAAGATTCAGATTAAGGCAAGGCAGCTTGGCTAAGAGGAATAGTCAGCCTGTAGTACATGGGGATTTATGAATACTTGTGCAGGCAGTAACACTTCCTGCATAATCTGGTGTTAGGGTTTTAGAGGCTGAGTGGTAGTTAAGTCACTATGGTCATCCACGAGGCAGAGAACTACATGGATAACATATAGAAAGGTGGTCACACAACAGGCTAGGGGTATACAGGCAAATGAGGAACTGGTGACAAGGTAGTCAGAGAGAACTAGGCAAGTAATGCAGAAGCACTGTGTCCAATCCATTAATCAGTTTTTCCTTTCTGGTTGAAGGATTTGATTTATAGGGAGAGGCTGGATAGACCTCCCTGGAGCATAGGAGGCTGAAGGTTGGAGGTTTATAAAGGTCAGGAGAGGCATATATAATATTAATAGCCAAGGTCATTTCCCCAGGGTAGGGGAGTCCAAAACTAAAAAAGGGCACAGGTTTAAGGGGAGGGGGAGAAAGATTTAAATAGGAACCTGAGGGGCAACTTTTTCCAGAGGGTAATGCATATATGGGACAAACTGCAAGACGAAGTGGTAGAGGCGAGTACAATTACAACATTTAAAAGACAGACTCATACAGCATGGAACAGACTCTTTAGTCCAACCAGTCTATGCCAACCATAATTCCAAACTAAACTTGTTCTACCTGGCTGCGTTTGGCCCTTATTCCTCCAAATATTTCTTATTCATGTACTCATCTAAATATAGGTATGCATTCATGTACTTACCTAAACTTCAATTACCCAAATATAGTCTGCTGGCAATATCATCAAGAGCAGTGAGAGGCATGCATTCCTATTTGAGTTCAGGAGAATTTCTACAGCAAAACATGTGTAATCCCATAAGAAAGGAGGCACTGGTAGATCTGGTTCTTGGGAAGAAGATGGGTCAAATATCAGTAGGAGAATGTTTCAGTGACCAGTGACCATTGTGTCATTAGGTGTTGGATAAGGGTGGAAGAGAACAAAAACAACCTACAGTGAGAATAATTAACTGAGGCAGAACAGATTTCAATAAGGCAAAGCTGGACCAGATAGATAGGAACTGAAGATTGGTGGGGAAATACTGGAAACATAACGCAAGTTGATAAGGGTAATGGGATGATGTGGTGTACGCAGACTTCCAAAAGGAAGTTGATTCAGACCAGACAGCAGATTTGAGACAAAAAGTTATAGCTCCCAGAATAAAACAGGACAGCAGCAATGTACAGCAAAACTGAGGAAGAGGAAACAGTGAGTAAAGTTTGAAAGAACTACAGATGCTGTAAATCAGAAATGAAAATAGAGATTGCTGGAAACGCTCAGTGGGAAACTTAGAACAGACTGGCAAACTGTTGCTGCCACTGTACAGGATCTTAGTGAGATCACATCTCCTTATTGAAGAAAGGATAGTGTTGCATTGGAAGCAGCTCAGATGGTTCCCTCAACTAATTCCTGCAATGAATGTGCTAACTTATAAGGAAAGGAAGATCAGGTTGATCTAATACACGCAGGAATTTACAAGAATAAAAGATGATCTTATTTTTACATAGAAGGATTCAGCTACAGAAGCCAATTTGATGGCAAATGGTAGCATCTATGAAAAGAAATCAATGATAACATTTCAGGTCAAGTGACCCTTCCTCAGAACTGAGGAAACAGTGAGTGATGCTTAATGGATATTTTGTGGGCTGCAGGAAGGAGTGTAGTGGAGTTCCCCAGGGGTTGATTTTGGATAACTTGTTTTCCCTGACATATTAATGAGCCAGATCCTGGTGTCCACTGGACAATTTTGATATGTTCGGACAATATAATACTTGAAAGAAATGTAACCAGTGAGGAGTACGGTATAAAATTACAACAGGACATTGACAGGTTGAAGAAGTGAGCAGATAGGTAAAGTTCAATGCAACGTTATATATTTCAGTAGAAAGAACATGGATATACAGTGTAAAATAAAGAATGCCAGTGTAAAGCCTGTTCAGAACAGGGATATCTACAATACTATGTACGCATGTCACAAAGTGATAGGACAGGTAGAGACACCAGTTAATAAAGCATGCAGTAAGAATTGTCCAGAATACATGAACAAGGAGGTTATGCCAAACTTGCATAAGATACCAGTTTGGCATCAGGTGGAGTATTGTGTACGGTTCTGGGTATCGTACTTTAGGAAAGATTTAAATCATTGGAGAATGCAGAAGAGGTTTCCGAGGGGCTCCAGGGATGAAAAACTTCAGTTCTGAAGATAGATTGAAGAGGTTGAGATGATTTTCCTTGGTGAGGAGAAAGCTTTCAAAATCTCATGGGCAAAGAAGATGGCAAAAAAATTGTACCCCCTCAAAAGGATTGACAATGAGAATATACAGACATACAATAATTTGCAAAAGATGCAAGGTAATGCCACTAGACTAGTAATCCAGAGTCTCAATTAAGGATAGGCAATGAAGTCCACATCTCAGAAATGAACGTTTTAAAATTTATAATTAGGAACCATTATCCGTCGGGATTGATAACAGATATTAAATGAAGTGTTCTATTCATTCATAGGTTGTGGGTGTTGCTGTGTTGCCCAACCTTAGCGGTCCTCAGGAAGGTGGCGGTGCTTCAACTTCCGGACTACAACTGATCGACTTCTCAGGCCATTTTAGAGGACAATTAAAAGTCAGAAATATTGATTACAGCATTGATGTTTTAAGAGTTTGTTACTATTGTCACTAATATCTTCAACAAGTGAAAGAATGCATCTAAAACAGCCACATGATTTAAATGAAGTTATATTTTAGTACTTCTGTATCACTAACTGGTTAAATATTAACAACAGCTTTATCTGGAGTTGACTCTGGCAGGATCATAAATGCAAACATGCCTGAAAGTGCATAAAGGGTTTATTTATACATCTACAAGTAAAGAAATTATTTTTCTCTCATAGCCAGTATGGGTAAAGGGTTTTGACATTTATACTTCAAAATAAAAAATAATTTTGGCAAAGTTTAAAAGCTAACATTTAAAAAAAGTCACAACATAACATTTGGAATAAGGTCAAAACTCTTATTTAGGAGATACTTAAAAAAATATTTTAATTGTTTCATAGCACTCAATGTTTGATTAAACTGTAGCCAGGAATGGGGAAAAAAACAACTTTTACATTGCTGGTCTAAGACCATTAAAATACAGATCCATGGCCAATTAGACTTTGCATCCAGTGAGATCAAAAGGAGCAAAAACTAGGGAAAAAATTGTATAATAGGAACAATGATGACAGATTGACTTAATAAATTCTCTACTGCTTCCCTTTTTTCAATTAAATTTCCTCATAGCCAGATTGTTCCTTGCTCTCAAGTGCAGGAACTGTCACACCAGCACACTCCCTATTACCATGTGCAGCAATGGGTAATTCTGCAGGAAGTGGTCTAGACAATTCCACCAAAACTGGCAAGCAGATAAAGTTCAGTTCCAATCGCTCCAACTGGGAGTCTAATGTTCCAGTGTCGCAACTGCTGGCTTAAAATTCAGACTAGTTTAAGATCATTGTCATACCAATCCCCTTCTTATATTCTCAAGATGAAGATCCAGGCTAAAGAAAACGTGCACATTTAGGACTGAAAAATTGCTGAAGATAAATCAGTCTTCAATTTTAATCTTCATTAAACAATACCATACTTCCGTGCACTAATACTAAGAGGATACTACAGTGGCCCCCACAAGAATCCACACCTCCCCACCCCAATGCCACTTTGCAGCATGGGACCTAATACCATCCCTGCCCCTTGGCAATCCCCCACCCCACGGACCTGAGACCCGAATATCCCACAGGACAGAAGACATCTCATCTGCAGCACCAGATCCACTCCCTGGAGCCTCTCTCTCCCCTCAAACTGACTCCATTCTCCATCACAGACCAAATCTTCCCAACACCCATGGCCTTGAATGCAATAACCACCTTCCATCCCAACGTACTCCAAATACTCCATCACTTATTTGGTACCATTCTCATCTTGGACTGCAGCATGCTACACCTTACCTGTCATCCTACCCTCCTAATCCCACACTTACTTTATATATTTACCTTTTCACAGGAGCTATCGGTGTCCTTTAAAATCACAGGATTCAGCAAAATGTACAACATGGTTTACTTTACATGGATGCACTGTGATAGACCTGTCAGATTTAAAGCACACCACACTTTTGAATGAGTCCTGATCAGAATCTTGTGTCAGAAGTGTGGAGCACTGCCTCAAAAATTAAAAAGGAGCAACGTAGCAGAGTAGCGTTTGAGGCCAACACCACAGACACTGAGGACGCACCTGCCGACACCACTGCTGCCACCGCAATCAACATCCAGGATCTACTGACAGACTCTGCTCCCCCCACCGCTGACGCCGTCGCTCCGCCCACCACTGACGCCACACCGCCCACCACCTCCACAGGAGACTGTAGCACCCAATCATGCGGAGTCTTCACCATCCCCCCAGACCTCCCCCTTACTGAGAGGGACGGTCAGTCCTCAGTGAAGGGCTCACCTTTGTCCCCCTCCACCCAAACATCAACGAATACCGCTCACGCTTGGATGTTGAACAGTTTTTCCGCCGCCTCCGCACTTACTTCTTTAACCATGAGCCTAACCCTCCCCCTACTGACCCCTTCTCCTGCCTCCAACACATCCCCTCCTCCTGGACACCACCCCAAGGCCTCCTACCCTCCCTCGACCTCTTCATCTCCAACTGCAGTCGTGACATCAATTGCCCCAACCTCTCCATCCCTCTCACCCACTCCAACCTCTCCCCCACAGAACAAGCAGCCCTCTGCTCCAATCCCAACCTCACCATAAAATCCGTAGACAAGGGAGGCGCAGTTGTAGTATGGCGCACTGACCTCTACATCACCGAGGCCAGGCGCCAACTCTCCGACACCACCTCCTACCGCCGCCTTGATCATGACCCCACCCCTGATCAACAAACCATCATCTCCCAAACCATCCACAACCTCATCACCTCAGGTGACCTCCCACCCACAGCCTCCAACCTCAGAGTTCCCCAACACGCACCACCCGCTTCTATCTCCTTCCCAAAATCCACAAACTTGACTGCCCTGGTTGACCCATTGTCTCCGCCTGCTCCTGCCCCACTGAACTCCTCTCCACCTATCTTGACTCCATTTTCTCCCCCTTGGTCCAGGAACTCCCTACCCATGTCTGTGACACCACCCATGCCCTCCACCTCCTCCAAAACTTCCAATTCCCTGGTCCCCAACACCTCATCTTTACCATGGACGTCCAGTCCCTATACACCTGCATTCCCCATGCAGATGGCCTAAAGGCCCTCCGCTTCTTCCGGTCCCACAGGCCCAACCAGTCCCCCTCCACTGACACCCTCATTCGCTTAGCCGAACTTGTCCTCACCCTCAACAACTTCTCTTTCAATTCCTCCCACTTCCTACAAAGGGGGTGGCCATGGGTACCCGCATGGGCCCAAGCTATGCCTGCCTCTTTGTAGGTTACGTGGAACAATCCCTCTTCCGTAGCTACACTGGCCCTAAACCCCACCTCTTCCTCCGTTACATTGATGACTGTATTGGTGCCGCCTCGTGCTCCCACGAGGAGCTCGAACAGTTCATCCACTTCACCAACACCTTCCACCCCAACCTTAAGTTTACCTGGACCATCTCTGATAACTCTCTCTCCTTCCTGGACCTCCGTTTCCATTCCTGGCAACCACCTGGAAACTGACATCCATTTCAAGCCCACCAACTCCCACAGCGACCTAGAATACACCTCCTCCCACCCACCTTCCTGCAAAAATGCCATTCCCTATTCCCAATTCCTTCGCCTCCGCCACATCTGCTCCCAGGATGAGGCATTCCACTCCTGAACATCTGACTTCCTTGTTTTTCAAGGACTGCAACTTCCCCCCCCCCCTCAGTGGTCGAGAACGCCCTCAACCATGTCTCCCGCATTTCCCGCAACTCATCCCTCACACCCCCTCCCCACAATAACAACAAAAACAGAATCCCCCTCATCCTCAAATACCACCCCACCAACCTCCGGATCCAACGCATCATCCTCCAACACTTCCGCCATCTGCAATCCGACCCCACCACCAAAGACATTTTTCCCTCCCTACCCTTATCTGCTTTCCGGAGGGACCACTCTCTCCGTGACTCCCTTGTCCGCTCCACACTCCCCTCCAGCCCCATCACACCCGGCACTTTTCCCTGCAACCGCAGGAAGTGCTACACCTGCCCCTACACCTCCCCCCTCACCCCCATCCCAGGCCCCAAGGCGGCTTTCCACATCAAGCAGATGTTCACTTACGCACTAAACAACTGCACCTCTCAGTCGCGAACTATTTCAACTCCCCCTCCCATTCCTCAGACGACATGTCCATCCTGGGCCTCCTGCAGTGCCACAATGATGCCACCCGAAGGTTGCAGGAACAGCACCTCATGTTCTGCTCGGGAACCCTGCAGCCCAATGGTATCAATGTGGACTTCACAAGCTTCAAAATCTCCCCTCCCCCTACCGCATCCCAAAACCAGCCCAGCTTGTCCCCGCCTCTCTAACCAGTCCTTCCTCCCATCTATCCCCTCCTCCCACCTGAAGCACCACCCCCATCTCCTACCTACTAGCCTCAACCCGCCCCCTTGACCTGTCCGTCCTCCCTGGACCGACCTATCCCCTCCCTAACTCCCCACCTACACTCACCTTTACTGGCTCCATCTCCGCCTCTTTGACCTATCTGTTTCCTCTCCACCTATCCATCTTCTATCCGCCTCCCCCTCTCTCCCTATTTATTTCTGAACCCCCTTCCCCTCCCCCATTTCTGAAGAAGGATCTAGGCCCGAAACGTCAGCTTTCCTGCTCCTCTGATGCTGCTTGGTCTTCATGTGTTCATCCAGCTCTACACCTTGTTATCTCAGAGTAGCAATGTGAATGTGATTGCCACTACTCAGAAAATCTGGCCCATGGTTTAATTTGTTTTTTTTTAAAAAGTTGTACCACCTCTGGTTAGCCAGTTTGCATACTGTCCCAACACAGGCACACAATACACAGTTGGTGATGCACATGTTTAACAAACACTACTGCTGACAGAACCTCCTCCTTCAGATTACTTTGGAGAGGCACCTTGTATTTGTTATCAAATTACACCATTTTTATTAATACTGTAGTTAAATTCTGTAATTAGAAACTGATGTGGCAGTGACCAATACTAGCTGCTCCAGTTAAACATGCCTACCAAATATATTTACCACCACCCCCCAACCCCAGTGCCATGAAAGCTTTTATCAAAAGAAGAGCTTTACAACATATAGAAAAAGCATGCCAAATGTTTAAGTCAACAGCTAAAAGATTGCCAGATCGTTTAACTTTGTTGCAAAGCATGAACGTTAAAAGCTGTAGTATTAATGTGCACCCTGCACCCAAATGGATTCCACAGGGATGGAGTGATATTTACCCAAAGAGCCAGCCCAACCATTTGGGTTTGGAATGCAAAAATGCAAAACTGCAAATACAGCAAAACAAGGTTTGAACAGAGCCATTTACTTTTTTTTTCAATAAATTGAGGCTAACTAAAATGCTTACATAGCATGGGGCACTTCCACCTTTCCTCTGTAAATGTTTGAGTTTTTCCCTGAAACAAAAACTATGCAGTAAAAGAGGCTAACAGTGGGCTGGATTTTTAT